AGCAGGCGTCAACGATGGAGCTTCCTCATGCGTCTCCCGCCAGCTGCGTGTTGCGTTCTTTTATTCGTTTCTTGGCCGCTACGAAGAAATCAGAGAAGGAAATTCACGAAGAACTTTGTCAAGTGTATGGAGAAGAGTGTATGAGCTCCGGGATGGTGCGCAGATATGTCAGGGACTTTAAAAATTAAACACTTAACTTAGGATTCGTAGATTCTCGTTAATCAACTTTCTTGTTTATTGTTTTTACAATAAATTAAAGATTAAAACAAATAAGTACAAAATGATAGATTTATTTAAACCTCGGCCCGCATGATCGTCACAATATTAAACATGTACTAATTAAGTTCGGGTTTTCTGCGTTTATACCTAATTACTCCAGGAATAAAAACGACTAATTTTGTTCAATCATAATAAGAAAAATGGATCACATTTCCGAAAAAAAAATAATATTTTAGCTAATGAACATCAAACACGTAAAATTCAATGGTAATTTTGCAACTGATTATTACTCGCAAATGCTCACATAAGTTGAAGCGTATAGTTTTTATTCATGGGCTAACGACTAGACCACTAATTATAAACCTTATTATTCGCGAGGTTCAAATGCCCTAATAATATTCCGTCATTTTCTAGAGGGTTTGGTGATATGGGAAAACAAGGCCCGCAAAAATGATAAAACTGATAATCAGCACATTCAAGATCGAAATTATCATTATCATCGGTACGGTTATCAGCACGGTACGGTCTTGGTCATCAGTAGCGGTACGGTCACGATCGCCAACAAATTATGTACGGCAATGAGCTTAGAACTACATCAAGAACTACATCAACTACAATGAAGACTACGCCGACAACCAAGTAAACAAATGAGTAAAGATATATAACGGTAATAGTACCGTAACGTAATAAACTAGAGAGATACTCGATCATGAGTGATCAAAGTAAATTCTATTTGTTCGGAACTTCGTCACAACCAAGACCACCTCTGTTCGAATATAGGCTATTTAAATACAACGGTAACCAAGTTCAACAAAGCAGAGGAATCAAAACAGTTTAATCGCGCAGAAGAGAACATATTTACGGTTCATAGAAGAGTAATTGGCAGAGAAAAGTACATTTTCGCAACTCAACTGGTATTTAAACTAGTATTAATTCCGGTTGTAACAACTCGTATATTATGAAAAAATCACATTGACAGTGCGTAACATTTCCGTACATTAATCAGCGCTTAACATTCTATCACATTCATCAGTACCAAATCTTCTCCAACAATCACCAGCAATCACCATTAATTATATTGTTATTTCGTATAAAAGACTTTTTCGTTACGCAAAAATATTTGCATGTACATCCATGGTGGTAACTTTGTTGAATGCGTCTCGTTTGTAGCTTTCAAACGAGTGCAAATACTTTGCAATTAACGCAAATAATGATCTATAACTACCATCTTCCAAATAAAAGTTCGTAAATATTGTTTTAAAATGGTCATTTTATATAAGTTCAAAACTGCATTACGCAAAAATTAGTGCATGTGCATCCATGGTAGTAGCTTTGTTGAACGCGTCTTCTTTGTAGCTTTCAAACGAGGGCAAACACTGTGCAACTAACAAAAATAGTGATCTATAAGTACAAATTTAATTTAAATAAATCTGTGTACATATTGGTGCAAGATGTTGATTTTATATATTTTTGAAATTACTTTACGCAAAAACTAGAGCACGCATACATGCGGGTTGCTGCGTTGGACGCGGCTCTGCAGCAGCTACAAAATGAGCTAAGAAAACGGAAAAGTAAAAATTTTCGATTTTTGACCGTTACAGTCCCCTTAAAACTCATGTTCAATTTTAGGCGTGTAGCTAATATGGATGGAGGAATCATGCATAATACGAACTCAATGAAATTAAAAAAATTCGTTTGTTATCAAACCCAATAAAATTTTTCCTCCCAGTGAAGAATCTTTCGTCGTTTGTTTTCTCGGGTTATTCATTCGTAGGATAACACCAGTTTGAGAATGAATAAATATTTGCCTTGAAAGATGAAAGAGTATTTTTTCAAGGAAAAAATATTTGACCCTGGATGAATTAGCTTTAATAAATTAAAATGCGATGAGTTACTGAGCATCGGCGCCGCTGGAAGTCGCATGAATTTCTCCTGCCGAGCTCACCGATGACCTGGAGGAAGAAAGATGTAAACCATTTTTTCCACAAAAAATTAAACATAAATTTATGAAGCATTCTAATTAAAATGCAGTGAATTACAAGGAGAAAATAATATACGTTAAAAAATTACTTTTTAAAGACAACACTTCCAAAGAATCCAGTATCTTCAATCTTACAGATGTACAATGAATTTGTTATCTAATTTTCAAAAATTGAAAAAATTTATTTTTCAATTTTTTAATATATATAAATTTTTTAATATATAAATTCTTTCAAAATTATTTATTCTGTTAGTTGATTCATGCATTGCCTCTGATTTCACACAAGTGTGCAAAATTTCAAATTAATTAGACAGGTAAAAGTGTGTCAAATATCATTTATAAGATTTGTAGCTGACAAAATTATTTTTTCAATTTTTTTTAATATTGAAAAAAAAAAATTAAATTTTTAAAATTATTTATTTTGACATTTGATTCATGCATTGTCTCCAACTTTACACAAGTGTGCAAAATTTCAGATCGATAGGATAAGTAGAAGTGTATTAAATTTCGATTACAAGATTTGTAGCAGACAGAAAGACAGACAGACAAACATACAAACAAACAAACAAGAAGTGAAGTTAAAGAGAAGTGTTGTAAAAATGAATTGAATTGAGCGAATTTTTTTTTCACAAAAAAATTAAACATGAATTTATCGAGCATTCTAATTAAAATGCATTGAATTACAAGGCAGGGTGAAATCACGAAAAATTGTAAAATATATTTAGCAAGCATTCTACTTAAAATGCATCGAATATGAATCAAGAATTTTACTTGGTGAATCATAAGGCGATTCAGTCTTGAATATGTGTTAGACAAGATACATGTCGCACTTGTTGATTGCAGTTCCATTTCTTACATTTTCAAGATGAAAAATTACGCTATTTATATTCTAGTTACAAGCGGATTCGAAACTTCAACACCCCTTATCTAAATCATCAATCTACTGAGTATAATTTAAAAGAGGAGAAAAATCTGTAAGACCATATAAATAATGTCATTTATAAATTAAATAACTTATATTATGTAAAATGAACTGTTCTCTGAAACTGCTCATTTTGTTAAAACCTTTTTATACCCATGTAAAATTGGATCGAAGTAAAAAGTATAGGCAGAAGTGCATTATATTCACTTATTGCATTTTCAAAATGCAAAATCTTGTGAGCGTTATTTCTACCTCTGCATAAATTGAGTGTAGTAAAAAAGTTCAAATATTACTTTATTTTTAAGTAATTTTATTCTCCCATTGCATCAGCTGAACGCATACCCTGTCTGGATTATTTTTACCGATGCATCATTGGACGGGATTAAAACAGTCTTAAAGTAACTTTTCATCTTATATTTTTATCTCCTATTTTTATCTCATATTTTCATCTCATATTTTTAACTGATATTTGTATCTCATATTTTTAACTGATATTTTTATCTCATATTTTAAGTGATATTTTTATCTCATATTTTTAACTGATATTTTTATCTGGTATTTTTATCTCATTTTCTTATCTCAGATTTTTATCTTCTATTGCATCAGCGAAATACAGGCCTTGTCGTTGACGAGTGCATCATCTGTTCAGGGACACTTTTGAGGTCCGGAGGTAGGGCTGTAGGGAAGGGTTGTTGGGGTATGGCCCTAAGTTGGTACAGCAGAGGTAGGGCTGTAGGGAAGGGTTGTTGGGTTATAACTCCATGTGGTCTAAGTTGGTACAGCAGATATTCCAGCTCCCACATCTTGTCAGGGGCGATGTAGTGGAAAGCAATAGCAGTGTCTGAACAGCAGTTCGGACCCTGAAATTAAATTAGTTGAATAAATCTTCTATTCTAAAATGTTTAATTTCCATTATTAGTTTTTTTATTTCTCTAATTACTTTAATAATGGTTGTATTTTTCAACCTACGAATAATATTGTGTCTGATGGTGTTGGGAATTTCCGCATGTCAAAAAATGTTAAATTACATTTTGTTCTGATAATGTAGTGCTATTTTTCCTATTACATACTGCTTAGTGCAATCAAATCTTAGGCTCATACATTCATTAATTTTCGAGTTACTCCAGAAAACATTGAAAAGAAAGAGTGTACCAATAATTTTGTTCTTAACTGTAATACATGATTAATTTGGAAATATGTTGTTGGAGACCCAATTAGATGCCTATTGCTCCTGTTTGCTTGCTATTCAACCAGGAACTTTTTCAGAACGGAAGTGCGAATAGAAGGAGTATCAACACAGTTGATTATAGCCTATTGGAAGTAGTGTTTCCAGCCATAAATGATTCATATATATTTCAATGAAATCGTTTGAAAAGAAACGAGGCTCTGGAGAGCAGAAACGAGACTATTGGAAGAGCAGCTTTGATGCGATTATTTCTCTTCCTTTATTTAGGAAAACATTTCAGAATTTCTACGACATATCAGAGTTGGTAAATTGATCTGTTCAATTCAATAAAAAAAATTTACTAGATAGATTGCAAAATCAACCGATTTAATTCAGTTTACGAATCCGTGGAATGAGTAGTCAAATTGATGTCCAGTTAATTGCTAAAGAAGGTGAGTCATACGGTTCGTCAATTAATCGTTGATACAGATTTAATTTTCAACGTGTATAAGCGGCTACAGAATAAAACTGGGAGTGATATAGCTCAATTTGAAGAAGCATTTTATGCACGAATAATTGTCAAAAGGCAGGGGCCAACCCCCCAGCCACCACCCAACCAGAACCTTTTTAAAGCCCTCCTATCTCTGTTGGAGTGAACATATGGGTACGCAAACAGTGGAAGCAGGTTGCCAGCGTGCTGGACTGCTGGTTACCTGCTCAGGCTGGCGCCTGAAACCATAGAAAACAGAAGCCTATTCGTACAAGTTTTTACTGTGAACACTTACATTATTATCCTATGTTCATTCTTGTGGCAGGTTGGAGCAGGTTGCCCGCGCGGGCAAACCTGCTTTCCCTGTGTGCGTACCCTAACGTCAGATCTTATATTGCGTCTTGCTGGCTCATGTTTGGCGACTGTAAACTTTGCTTTCTGTTGTAAATATCTATTAATAAATTTATATTCATCTGTGTAACCTTATTATCGCAATACAACGTCTGAATACGATTCAGACAATTAACTCATGTCTCAATTGTTGTTTTATTCTAGAGGCGACCTAATTTATCCTTATCCTACACTTAAGTTTAGCTTGTCCATGACTGACCATTTCAGCTGGATAGTAAGTATTCTTATTTTAAGTAATTTATCCTTATGACGGAGAGACGGACGGACGGACATGGCGAGCACAATAGCGCCTTTTTTCATATATGAGGAAATGCGCTAAAAACTGTAGGATATGTCAAAAATGCAAACACTAGGATTAATGTAGATTTACTTCTTAAATTGCTAAAGCACTCTATATCGCCAAATAAAAATGGATTCAAGTTTCTTCCGGAAACTCTCGAACAATCATCAACCATGCATATAGTAAGATCATGAACTATTTAGTGTTTAAAGCCCGCCGAAATACTAATAATTTCTTATATAAACAATAACTACCAGTTTAGTATCAAATAGTGAATCTGGTGGCTGATACCTGATAGCTCTCTCTGAATGTAAATTTAAAACTAATAAAGAAACCTGCATGATATCGGATTTCGTAAGAACACGTCTAAATCAACGATGTTACGTCCCAACTTGTTAATCAAATTTTTGTGCTCTGACCACTCAATAAATATACAAATATATCTTAATTCGCTCATTACCTTATTTTTTATAAGAAACTAGAGTACAGGTAGATGCCTGAATGGGGTAATAAAAATCAGAATAACTACGAGTATAGTGGGAAAAGCAACTGTGAGTTTTTAATTATAAGTTTTAAATAAACGCAGGTAAAAATCATGGAACGGAGTCAACAATTCAAATAACGAACCAATTTCGACGTCTTCGGCGCTCGTGTCATCAGTAGCTCTGCATTTCTTAGGGTCTGGAAGAGCTTCTTCGACGAATTTTTTGACCGCTGTGCGGCTGAGAACGTAGCCGGCACCTGCACGTGGTATCGTACTAACTGGTTGAATTTGCCTCGGGAAGATAATTACTAAAAAGGTATTTTGAAAATGTTCCACTTACTAATTAAATAAAACACTAAAAGACCAAAAAATATCTTAACATTCATTGCGCCCCTGACAGGTGGGATATTCATGTAAAAAATTAGCAATAGAAGGCTTATATATTAGGTGAGACGAAAACATACGCTCATTATCATCTCATTGTTAGAAGTCAGATAAATGGAGTTTAAGAGATCTCACAATAAGACATCATGATATGAACCGTTAGAGATAATTTAAAATTGAAAATGCTAAAGAATTTATGGTAAATCGAAAAATTTGTTCATGCTATGCTTAAACATAAAATAATCGATTTGGAGTGAAGAAGAGGAAGCATGTGAAGTACTGAAGTAGTTTGTTTGTGTGAAACAGGAACGGAAGTATGTATTTACAGAATTGTAAGACAGAGTTAGAGTTAGTGACATTTGAAGGTAATTTTTACACTATTCGGAAACCTTTCACCTGTGAGAGCTTGTCTATTTCTGCAGCAATGGGCGTTCTTCCTCTTTTGTCAGATTTAGTAATTGCAACACCCAACTGTAGGTGCAAATAACTAGGGACTAGTAACCTAGCTTCTTGTGCCTCGATCTGTCTCTAGCATTATGTATGCATACTTCATGGCTACGTTTAATACACGTTATTTATCTGTTCCTCTCTCCCTCCCGCCTCATGCTCCCCTACAACCTCTGGACCCTATGGGTTTGGTATATAGACTACAGTTATTTTTATTTTTATGTCTGAACTACTTTCTAAACGAGCGATTTTTGTTCGACGACTAGACAAACACGTTGGCAGGATGAATCCAACAGAAATTGATTGGAAAATTTCAAGGTTTTCCGATGATGACTTGACACAATCTTTGCTAAAGCTGACCGTGATGCAGAGAGATAAAGAAACCGTTAAAGTACAAACCTCAAGACTCGGCAGCCATGGCTCACAATAAAGACCTTGACCTAAGAAAATTTATAAAGGATTAGAACAATAAAAAACACTCATTCAGTCGCACAACTGGCACTAACGAACCAATCCTAATCAAACTACTTAGTACCTAAGTAGTTAACCCAAATCCTAAGTAAACCTAATCAAACTACCAATCCTACAGGGCAACAAAATTCCTCAAGCCCGACACAACGCGTGATACACAAAGTGATGATGATTTACGGACTGAAAGTTTTAATGAAAGACCTGACCTCGTTCGGAACATTTAACTATTCGCGATATGAAAAATTGAAATTACATAAGCCAATATGTAATTAATTTGATCCCTCGTAAAACTTTCAAAAACGCCAACAAACGCGTTTTCATAACAAAAACAACCCTAAAGATGCGTAGTAATGTCAATTTACGACATGTACTAAAAGTTGCACTAAAAAATTCAAGGACTATTGAAATATCATCCTCTTTAACCCCTCCAAATAACCAACTTAAACCCAGACAAATTTCTTCCTTCCTCCTTTTTAACCTTAATCAAGCCCCTCACACCTACAACCAACCATATTATGAACATATGTGGTTTCTTGTTCTTTCCGCGACATTGTCATTCTAGTTTCTGGTATCCCTAAGCACCTTTTACTTTTCTTCCTATTCCTCGTAGCACCGGATCACTACCATCAACATCATCCATCACGAACCTATGCAAGGACGGACAAGCACACCACCACAACAACAAACGCCAGAAAAAAGAAACTATCCTCTCAAAACATCTTCCGTCTTCACGAATTCCCAGTCCTCAGTCGAATTATAATAACACCATGTCCACAACTGGCACTGTAAGACAAGCTAAATTTCTTAACGACATTGTAACCGGCGCCACATTTATCAATGACCACTGCATCACAGGCAAGAAACCACATTCAATATATTCAATTATAATATATGGACATAGTTGTGATAAAGATACAACACACTCCGAACACAATACAATACAAAACGCCAATTTCCAAATTCCAAAATAACTCTAGGTATTATGGCTATTCAGACACGCTCATCATTACAGTATATACACAACAAAGATCCGTTACCATATTGGAATCACAGTTATCCCACCATTAAGACATCAGACTACATAAATGACTAGGGAACAATAAACTCTACACTAGGGAATTGTTGCGCAGGTCAAATAGAAAGAAAATTACCCTGACTCATACATGATCCAAAGTAAGAACGGACAAATCATCCCCTACTTTCCAACCTGCATCATAGAGGGATGCACATGGCTATAGCCAGATTTAAGAAAAAAAAATTCATTATAAGTCCATGGAATTTTCAGCTGGCATGAGACAATTATACGCAAAACAAACAAACAAACATATGCTTAATCAGAACCCACACCATAAAGTTCAAAATCATCCCTATCAGCAAGCGAGAAACATCAGACATATTCACAGTCAACACTCACTACCCATTTACAATTTTAAAGTTTTGATAACAAGGGGACAGATTAATTGATTAAAGTTAACATTACACCAATTGTGGCCCCAGGTAACAGCCAGGAAGTCAACAACCTCAAGAACCTATACAAAATACAAAGAGTTTAAACCGAACTTAAAACGCACCCAAAACCTCGCCTAGCTCTGCCAGATCACCAACATGCCACAAATTCGACGGCAAGTTGGGGGAGGGGCGAGTGGGGCCACCAAAGTCCACCTGGAGCAGCACCGTGATGCCCGATCGAATTTCACATGCAGGCATGAGTCTCGTACTTATTATTATTATTTCGTATAATAATACTTGCATCTTGAATGCATCAACTTATTTGACAAACAAAATTATCTGTGAATAATAACCCCATGCGAAGCTGAGTGGAGAGAAAATAAAGGGGACGAAGGAATTTCTGAAGAGAAATACGAAAAACCCTTCATGGGAAGGGGCTTGTGAAGTTTATTTGAGTCGTATCGGATGCCGTGAAACGACCAAGCGGTAGGCATAAAAAATTTCTGATTTTCTTTGGAGCTTGCGGCTTGTGGATGAGCTAGGCGTATGAGATGTCGTCTACACCCTGCAGACGGTTGTTATTTAAAGTTATATAACCTGTCGGTAAAAATAACTACCAAGCACAAGATAAAAAGTTTTAATCAGAAAAATAAAAGTAATAATGATGCAAATCAACATGGTTTTACATTGATTATTTGCGTACCATACCTCCGCTCATGAAAATCTGGCCGTTAAATTTCTTAAATTTGCAGCCGAAGAATATTGGAATCTCCGGGTCGTATAAGCTGAGCAGGTAGCGCAAATTCTCCACCACTACAAACCTGAAGGAAAAAGGGTAATAAGGGAGAAATAATAATAATTTTTAAGGCTTAACAAGCTATATTTAAATTGAAAATATATCAGGGTAGGAGATCCTGAACTTGAATTATCATTCGTTCCTTAACATTAGTTAGTCGTCAATACTAAACTAAAGGAGTTTTGGAGATCATTTCGAATGTTTGTAAAAAACAACATGACATTTTGGTGTGACTTGAATGGCGTTAAGATGGTCAGAATAAATATGAGTAAAAATAATTTAGATGGTCAGAATGAATAAGAGTTGTCCGTGAAAAAAACATTACCGAGCTTAAATGGGTACGATGGGGTATAAGATTCTCTCAGAAAATGATTATTTTTTCGAGACCCTAAAGAAAAGCTCATCGTCCGAAACGCTCATCCGTAACAGAGGTCCGTAACGCTTATAGATGCATATAAACAATAAGATAAACGAAAGGAAAAATCATGCGGTGAATAAATAGCACAGCTTGTATTCTGAAAATTTTTTTCATTCACACATGAATAAGCCAATAGTTTATCGTAGGCAAGCTTCTTCCACCTCCAAAAGTCTTACACCTGCTTGGCTCAGTCATATTAAATAGGTGATTCAGTTGAATCTAAGTCGTAATTGAGCGTGGTTTTAGTTCGTGTGGCGAAATACTTCGGTGAGTTTAGTGCTGCTATTTATTAGTCTTTCATTATTGATTCTGATATGATACATTTTTTGGTTAACTTGGATTTAATTTTGCTTATATTTGTTTATCTTGTGTATTAGATAGCTAATATTTCTTATGTCATACTTGCAGAAACTATGTTTTCAAGATTACCCAAATAAAACTCCTTGAAACCTGAGTGTCGAAATTTTGCCTAAGCCACTAGGGCTTAACAATAACCTTACGTTAACACAAAAATTTAATCTCACGTGTCATCATCCGCCTTCATGAACCAGTCGTAGTCTTCAACGTAATGCTGGTGTACGTGTTTAAATGCTTCTTTTGTTTTGCCCCATAGAAGATTACGGCCTTCGGTCGGGCTTAACAATAACCTTACGTTAACGTCAAAATTGAATCTCACGTGTCATCATCCGCCTTCATGAACCAGTCGTAGTCGTCAACGTAATGCTGGTGTATGTGTTTAAATGCTTCTTTTGTTTTGCCCCATAGAAGATTACGGCCTTCGGTCGCGTTCAACTGGACGCTCGGTGAAGAAGCATCTGATGAATTAATTAACAGGGAAAGATTTACTAAACGAATAATTATTCAGTTCATGAGTTCCTGCAAATCACAGACGCAGGTAAAATTTAGTAACATAATGTTATTGCATCCCGGAAGTAATCGGAAGCCTTTACATGATAAGCAAATTAATCACCTGTTATTAATAGATAAAGACGGCCAAAAATTTATTAGCTTTATTTGTAACGTTTTAAAATGAATCATACGCGAGAACATTTTTTGTAAATTACATTACTTAAGATAAAATCCATTATTCTGAATGCAAATTTCTGTACATTGCCTGAAGGAATCGGAACTAATCGTTTAAATTTGTAATGGAAATAGTTTAATGACGATATTTATTGCGTCTTTCAAATCTCGGATGATGTTCGGTTTAGTCTCGTAAATATTATGTTATTACTGCAATAAGGAAAAAGTTGCATGACGGCAAACCAGGTGAACGCGACGGCCATTTTTCATCATCAAATCGGGATACAAATTTTGATGACAACATTCTATGCCGTGATGGAGGCCGTACTATCTTGTAAAAACAAGGAACTCAAGTCATCGTTTTGTTGTCGAAGCATCACTATAAAGGAGAAATTTTTGTCATGTTGACATTGTGCTCCAAAGTTACCTGCCAACTGCAGTTGCTTCAGCAAAGTATTGCTCTAAAATCCTGAAAGATTTTTACATTTCACGCCTTACAGTCATTTTTTAAATATGCAAAGGATCTCAATGCACGAAGCGGGGATTTGAACTACGCTGCAGGTTGCACTAGCAGTACGCTAGCGTCAATAATATGTCGCTGACGTAAATTTTGAATGGTCTAAATTTTCATATTTGTTTTGTGCATCAATTGATGGGTTATGATATTAGAATCGTAAATCCTTTTTTTTTCAGCAACACCACATAATATAATTTGTGAACTGTATATTGCCACAACGCTCAAGACACTTTAAAAAATCAATATTTGTAGCGATTGATTAAAAAAATTATTTCTAATTACCTTCTTGGCTGCTCATAAATATAAGCTTGTCTACCCTCTTGCCCCAAGTGTCGCGGACTGACACAGCTTTCGTCTTGTGGTTGTTTGGCTGTGTCATCACCCACACCAGCACCTTGATATCCCGCTGCAGGCGCTGAGATTCCTCCGTGTTTAGCGGGTGCATCTCTATTGAAGAGATGCAATAAAGATTTATTTGGAAAATTTGTCACTTTTCGTCAATTTCTATTTGGCGACTTCTGGGTGTTGCACCGCAAATGTCAGAGTGACTAAAGAAACAATTTAATCTTGACGTTTCTGACGAAACACTTCCGATGTGATGACCATTTGAAAAATGTGATAATATAACTGGTTTTGAAACATCAAATTTTAAGATAGCGATGGAAACCTGAATGAATTTTTGAAGGAGTTTCTCTATCGCAAATTACTCCACAAAATTGCATTCAAGTAATTATCTATGAATTGTAGATACTGCTTCATTCTACGTGGTTTTCTTAGATCAGTCAGTGATAAAACAGCCAATGAAGTGACAAAATAGGTGAAAAATAACACTCTAAGCCCATGAACGTGAGGTTATTATCTTGGTATTCTCAAGATATGATAGCTGCATGATTTTCTAAATATCTGCATAGGTAGGTGAAGTATATTAACTTTGTCCGTTGCTTGTTGATTTATAGAAAATTTAATTTAGGCAGATTGGTACAAATCATCGTATATGGTGCAGCGTAGTTATTGAATAACTTTAAGTTCTTAACCTTGTATCAGGTTAGTTATATTATGCAGAATATGAAAAAAGTTACTTCGCTTTTCTACCAAAACTATCTAATAAATGTCAAAAATTACATTTTTCAGCTGAGAGGAGTAGAAAATAGAATCAAATGAAACACAATTGAAATATTTTACATTTCTCACCAATTTTGTTCAGCACAGAGCTTCTGTAATGCATGCGTGCACCATGCGTTGGTAAGATGTTGAGGGAAGAATGTTTGTGGTTCCCAGCATTGCAGCCCGTCATGCGGTATTCCAGGTTGCCGACAATGCCACGGAAAGTATTTAATGTAATTAAATGAGTGTTTCGGACAATATAACAGAAAATTATAGGCGTTAGAAAGGCATTTAAATTTAATTGAATTCATCGGAAGATGAAGAAATAAAAAATATTAATAATAAATTCAATTCAAAATATTAATATTAAATTAAATTTAATTCAAATAACGAGATATTGTTTTAAGCCTACACCCTTGTTCTGTGTTCAGATCGACCAGTTGCAACGCTCGAGATTGTTGCCTTTTTAATATATGACATCTAAGCCAGTGCCCATCTTGGGGCTACGGCCGGCTTTCAGGTGGCCGAGGAATGGCCTGCTGTCGGCTAGAACTAATTGGCCTCGGCCGACCACTGGCCATCCATTGTTACTTCGCCCTTTATTGTGCTCCCCTCCACCACAAGAGTGACAGACGGCTTATTTACGACGTATCTTTCCCCCCATTCTTTCCCCAACTCCTCCATCACTGCAGCTTCCAAATAAATGTTAAATCACAAACTGAGCAGGGACGAAAATATCTTTTGTTAGAAAATATCTACAAAATAAAGGTTGATTGAGCTATGTCTTCAATACCGATCAATGGAGAATAAATAAAACTACATCCCTAAGTCTCACAAATTTAGGTAAGTCGCATTGTATAATGAACATCGATGTACAACCTTTTCCTCTATCATAACTGATGCTATTCAAAATTTACATATATTTTGTTACCGTGGAGAAATTCTAAATAAATAGCTGAAAAAGCATGACAAATTTCAGATTGATATTTCATTTACGAGCGGAGGTAAAATGACTATAAGTAGTGATAGAATCCCATAGGGATCCAGCCGAGCCTGCCTGCATGAGGGCTCACGGTTCAGAGCCTTAAACAGGGAATGCTTGTTGGCATGAGTGCTCGCCCTAGGTTTCGTACCTAAATCCTTGTACAAATTATCATCTATATACATAATACACCCACACCTCTCTTAACACGCTACTAATTACCGAAGGGCTGACGTTATCCACCGAGTCAGACTCACAGTACGGGAGATTGGCTAATAACTAAACTAAATTGAATGATGTTGATTGCAAGCACCATTTCCAGTTCTGAGCCACTTATTATCATCGTCACGACTAAAACATAAAAATCTACAAATCATATCTACTGAATACGAGTAATATAAAGCACGAATATACACTATGCAACGGGTACGCGTAATATCTATTTTTTCTTGATAGTGAAACAATGCGAATATTGTGTGAAAAAAAAAAACATATCAACAATCCTCCCTTTTTTACCTACCCACCAAGCACTGACTGTCTTCACTCCTTAAACTCGTCTCAAGTGACCTCAAGCATTTCAAGGTAACCTAAATTTATGCGGCTAAAGCATATTTTCGACAACAATCCACCTCGTATTGGCATCACATGTTTACGTGGGAGAGTAAATGGATGCTAATTTTTATTCTAAATGAAATTGTGAAAAACAAATAAATAATTTTGCATATAATTTAATTGTAAAAATGTAATTATATCTAGTTAGGGCATAGCTTTATTCTTTTTATGCTGCACGGTCGTAAAAAAATTTTTAGTGCACATAAGCTAAGATTGCCTATTTATATAAAAAATTCATGACGGCCTAATTCACTCAGTACCCGATGAATGACGAAGTCGCCCGATGGAACTGAGTGACCGTGTCGGTGCTGATGGATATTATAGTAGTGGATAGAGCCACACAACTTTAATTTATTTTTCTCTGGCTGAATTTCTTGCAAGTTGAAAAGTTAATTAATTTTTTATTCACCTGCATGAGTACCAACAGTTCAATATTCGTGCATGGAAATAGGATATGTTATGAAACTTACTAAGTAAAAATGTGTCGTTTTCAGCATTTCGAATCATAAAACACAGCTAACATTTTTTTAAATTCAACTTAAATATCTTGAATGCTCAATGTTTAGCCCACCGTTTATAGATTGGCCCAACATATTCTTCTGAATATTTTGTTTCTAATTCAAATTGTTTCTTGCCACGATATGGTAAAAAAATTTCGTAAAATGAAGAGATTTGAGGAACGGAAATGTACAATTTTATCTGGCGTTCAAACGCAACACTGGGGCTAGCGAATGACTGCGTTTTTTTAAAGAATTCTGTTCACTGTGAAGATTGATTACACACTGAACGTTGACTGCATTATCTTAACCATGGAAGCTACGATTCTTTCCAAAACCATCTCGCAAGTGACTCTTTTTAAGGTGGAATGCAGCTTTCAGTTATAGGAAATTAAGCTAAAAGAATTTGACAGGATACTTGAGTTCAAGTCGCAATCGAATGTTTGAAAAAACTGACCCAGTAATAGGCATGCCCTTTCTTTAATTTCGCGGTCTATTATCTACGACTTTCATAAGGACCATCCAAATAAAAATGTACAACGCAAATAAGAGAAGTCCTCTGAAAATTAATGATAAACTTTTGGCATCAAGCGCAGCTATAATTGGCCTTCTGTTTAAAAACGACAGAGTAAAATTTTGTGGGGGGAAATCCTACTGAATATACTCACCAAAGGGCATCCTGCAGAGCAGCCGTTGAAAGTAAACTTTCTCTGCTATACTTCGGTAGATTCAATTAGTGGATTACAAAGAATATTGAATATCCAAGAAAAAAATCAGTGCAAATCAAGAGGTGACAACAAACAACATTCATGCCTCATGGATCACCCAATTATCCCTTTAATTTCAGATACATTTATCGTCTTCAATGCTATTCGTACCTAGTGGCTTGGGACCGTGAAGTCCCGTCAGTTACGAAATGGTATTAAGGAAACGATGAGTCTTTTTAAACGTTTTGTCGAACACCTGTTGAACATACAATTAAAACTCATTTGAGCACTTGCACATTTCTGTAAGCGAGCATGCAGTTATAGATGACATCAATCATTCGCGTCTCTATATTATATGTACAAGGAGTAGCTTTTTAAATTAGTTAATAAGAATTTAATTTTATTAATAGACCATTTTAATTAAGCAATTCATTTCTGCATGCCTCGGAACCATCATGGGATTGTTCTAATGAATACTGCACAAAGTTTTACTTAACTTAATCCTGTCTAAACATCCTGTCTTAGAATTTTATTTCTCTAAAAATTAGCATCCAGCTTAGCAAAACTCTGTTTTGGTTACGTATAAGATGTTTGTTTTTAGCTACGTATAAGATTTTTATATGAACATAGAACATATATACAGTGGGGGGAAATAAATATTCGTACACTTGAAAAATCGTATTTTAATGTATGTAAGTACACAAACTGAACAGGAGAAGTGATTTATATTATGTATAGAGGCGCATTGTATTCAAAAATAGCATCAATAGAAATTAAATCACAATGCAACAAAAATTAATGCAACATGTTAACTTCTTCGGGTCAAAAAAGTATTCGTACAAAACAACTTTTGACTAATATTTCACACCAGAACATTCCAGAATGTACTAGAAACATGTAGCACGTTCCATATTTAATGGACCGCAAGTACACTTGAATTTCATGAACGAAATTTATCAAATATTCAAAATTTTGACTTATGTTAGAAAAGAAAACTTTTGTTTATAAAGAAAACTTTCGTTTAGACTTTTGCGACTTTTGTTCAGAAAGCTGAGTGCCGTAGATAGCAAGGCATACGCATAATTAAGTAAGCTTTTTTTCGTGATATAATCCTGTGTGATGTTCCATAAACACATCCGCGCTTCTGTGCATTGACATGCAATGAGTAACTAGAACTCTGAATATCACAACATTATTTCCCAAGTTTACCAAGAACTTAAACGCAAAGGAAATGTCAAATAACTTCGTCATGTCTCCATTGAAAACGTTTCAAATACCAGATCAATATTATCTCACGATGCCAGCACATTGCCTGACGACTCGAAGCAGTGTCTATGTACATTTCAATGATGGAATCCATGAAACTGTATATCTAGCAAACTATATAGTTACTGAATCTGTTGCTGCACATAATATATAAATATATAAAATATAACTCAGTTCTCACTGCAGTGAGTGACAGAGAGCGCATTTTCTCGTCGAAGAAAACTTGAGGTCACGGACGGACGGACAGACAGACAGACAGACAGACAGACAGACAGACGGACATGGCGAGCACAATAGTGCATTTTTTCCATAAATGAGAAAATGTGCTAAAAAAGATTTTAACGTTTCTCTTGGACAGTCGGTCCTGGGACAGACGTGCTTAGCGAATTTGGCTTCTTGAATGTTGTAAACCTGAAAAAATTGATTAACATTCCGAACTAATTTTTTAACACAAACATAAGTTAATACCAACTGGAAGGTTATCTGAACATGGTAAACATGCATAACAAATTACAAGAATGCAATGGTGATCTAACTATCGCAGTTTGACAATACGAGGCAGGGTGAGCTACGTGCTCAATGATTGACGATCACAATGAGACTGCAGTTGCACGAGCAATATACTGATAAATAGAGATAGAGCAGAATTCCTTATCTGCAGGAGTATACCGGCTCAATATTCTTGTGCCTGAATTTTTTATCTTCAAGTATACCGGCAAAATATTAATTATATATCTTTCCTATTTATAATAATCACAACCAAATAAGAATTTCGTCATAATCCTCTAATTAGCTGGGCAATGCGTATAATCCAAGCATTATAATAAAATCCTACAGGAGTCATCAAAGTTACGAGTATACAGAAGATAACTTTTTATTTTTTGATTTTCTTTAATACGGTTATTAAGAAACACTTGACTTATATTGGTAAGCCATCCAATACATCGGCGACAGGCCACATCAGGTCTACACTTCAGCGCCGAGATCACTATGTTATGTTATGTTAATGCATGAACATTGGTTCTTGGCTGCAGTGAAAGCCTTGCTCATATTTCCATTACTCGAAAAAAAATATAGATCATCGCGATTTTTTCTTATGCTCCAAAAACTATTATTTAAAACAAAGGTCAACAAATTGTTGAACTCTAGTGCGCCTATCACTAATCGTACGAAGCCCAGCTAGGGTTTTCAATTCTGGGCTTGAAATTGAACCCCTGAGTAGCTTGCAGGCTTTGGAGCGCTGCTGTTGGCCTCAAATTCACCTCTTAAGAAAATGATCTCCCTTGGAAATAAAAAAATGGCTTTTTCGCCATCTGATCTCACTCTGTAGCTCTAGAAACGCTTACCACGACTCTACACTCATATAAACAGTCTTCCCCTATCGAAAAAGCCGTCACCCACTCACTGCTGAATTAAGATGCTGCAACGGCTTAATAGGTCTACGGCGCTGTCGCTTGCGGCTCGCCCGACGACAAAAACACTCCGCTGACGTTATGGAGTATTTTGTGGATAGCCCGATCTATTTCAGGCCATACAGATCGTCCAAATTCCGTGCAAATTATTCCTGAAAAGAGATCAAAGTCTTTTGGTTGATTCATACCTCTGACTCAGAGTTCTAGTACAACCTTTGAGTTTAGAACTAAAAAGTTTTTCAAGTGGGAAGCAGGAAGTCGAGTGCAATGGTCTAAAGCGTTCATAATTATCAGGTAAGTGTATGAGATAATGAACGAAACAAAGCCAGAAAAATATTAGCAGTCCTTAAGAAAACCAGCTAACAATATCTGACCGCAGGCATTGTTGCAATATCTCAAGAAGTGGACGTATTTGGCTTCAGGAAGCAAATTTTTTACACTAGAAACTCGTGCATAAACAAGAAATACACGAAAATTGACAGCTTTCTCTTATGACAAAGTTGTCGTGCCTCTAGTATTTTAGAGGATTCTTTGTCTTTAGAGGATTCAGAAGACATCGACATTGAGAATTTATAAATTTTTCGGTCCAATTTTTCTCTGGCACTTACATTAATGTGACATTGCAATTCATTCCTTTTGCTGCATTTCCATCTGTGCAACCGCAGATTCATCACTCCAAGGCAGCAAACATGGATGCCGTCAAGTGGAAAATCATGAACCATGTTTATTTTCGGATGTAAGAGCGTTGAAGGTTCTTCAAAAGTCATGCGAAGTTGTTGTGATGTTGAACTATAACTAGTAACGACAATAACCACAAAATCGTTTGATATTGCATACGAAGCTAAGGAATTTTACGAAGCTCGAGAACACTTCTTATTCAATAGTGAAGATTTGCTCTAGTTGCAGCCGAGAGGCATTTGGCACTCAAACAGGAAAAACTGAAAACTTTTTTCTACGTTTGGCGAAGTAGCAATTTTTAGCGCATTTTCTCATTTATGGAAAAAAATATAACTCAGTACTCACTGCAGTGAATGACAGAGAGAGCATTTTCTCGTCGACGAAAACTTGAGGTCACGGACAGACGGACAGACAGGCGGACGGACGGACATGGCGAGCACAATAGTGCATTTTTTCCATAAATGAGAAAATGCGCTAAAAAGGCGCTATTGTGCTAGTCATGTCCATCCGTCCGTCTGTCTGTCCGTCCGTGATTTCACGTTTTCGTCGACGTGAAAATGAGTTCTATGTCACTCACTGCAGTGAGTACTGAGTTATATTTTTTAAGTCATTAAGTTTCGATTTGATGTTTTCCTACAGCGGGCCACAGAAATTTATTTTGAACTGCATCGCCATCGCTTCTCAAAAATTTCCATCACTGAAATTCTGGATTAATCGAGAATGTAAACGAGAAAAATACAATCTTTTTGATGAAAGAA